AGATGCAAACTCTGGGGCCGAGCACCATCAAAGTGTTACACTCGGTGCTCACACACACAAGCGCAACCATGTCCGTGTGCTGCGCAGAGTGCTCTGCGCAGCACACGGCATGGTTGCGCTTGTGTGTGTGAACACCGAGTGTAATACTTTGATGGTGCTCGGCCCCGAAGTTTGCATCTCTGCTTCCGAGTCCGGCCTACCGTATTCTGCATCCTCATTCGCTCAGACGTGCAAATTAATTACTCGATAACTATTGTTACTTTTGTACCGCGGCACATGATATTTCTCCTTAGTTTAACCCAATCTACCACTATTTTCAAGTTGGCTACTTTTGCAACAGACACCCTGTATATGGACATTTTTCGTATATGAGCATATATGATTATATATGATCATATGTGAAAATTTTTTCCCGGGAATTCAGCATATTATAATTATAATGTGTAATATTAGATAATATTTTTCGCAATCGAAATTAAACACGTTATTAGAACTTTTAGTACTTAAATCTTTGTTATGTTGATTATGGTTAAAATTTTTGGTTGAAATTTGTTATGTTGATTATGGTTAAAAAATATCCATAATTAATGTAATAGAATCTATTACATCAAAGTTGCAAAAATTATGTAGGTCTTTTAAGAACCATCAAATATTTTTTTAATTGTGTCACTCAAACTTGAGGATTTTCCAATACGCTGAATACTAATCTAATATCAAAATTTAATTTATTTGTATAAAAATTCCTAATACATGAATTATTTAAAAAATTGGATCACCTTTTAATTTTTATTCTTAATTTTAGACTCTATATTTATTGTATCAATTATAACACCTGATTAGCGTTAGCGATTTAAAAAACTTTTTTTAGATAATATAACTAAAAAATATTTGGTTAATGGCATGTGTGAACGTGTTGCAATCTGACATAGATCCTATTAATTTCCAATATATTTTTAACCATAGTCAACACTTTCTTTCAAGGACTGTGAAGGAATTAATAACTCTTAATTTTTATTATAAAAAATTGTATTGTAGTTACGACCTGCCAAAATATTATAAAATTCTTTTTGAAACTCTAATCACACAAATTTCTCAAGATTGTGATGTGATAGCAAATTGATAAACGGGATCATATTCAGCCCTAAAAGATAACGGAAAACGATTACCCTGTCTTGTGCCTTTTTTTTATTGAATAGCTATCTGCATAAAAATACACAAATTCGTTGCATTATTTTACAAGATTTTGCTTGCATTTTAAAAACACAGAAACAAATCTTACGTAGTAAAATAGTCACTTGTAGAATATAAAATACAACGAATCCTAAAAACGTCTTATTTAATGATGCATTGCGTTATATTCGTATTAATTGACAAGTCCTTCGATTGGCTATCGTATTGCTGCACTTCATTGTCAAATGATTAATTTTGATCCTTGTTACGTTCCAGACCGGAAAAATTTCACGAACACTTGTTAGACACACATGTGGAAAGTAGGGCTGTTACTTTTGATAACTTCGAAGATTCAAAGCTTCGAAAAATTTATTCGTGCGAGTGGCGAATTTATTTAAAGAACACTAAAAATATTGTAAATAAAAAGTACTTATTTATATACATATGTTGAAAAATAGGTAATTACTTCTAAATTATAATTTTGAAGTACTATAACATGTATATTACATATTTGTTTAAGATCGCGTAATTAAATCTTCAAAAATGGTGAAGTATATCAATTAAGTATCGTATCAACACTTGAAAAATTCGCAAAAATTTATTGCGAATTATATCGTTGATTAATAATAATTTAACTTATTTAAAATTTATCTGAATATTACTCGGGTTCCTAAATTATCGAATTATTGTTCGTGTGCATTCTCAATTCTTATCCACGTCGCGCGTCTATCACGTACATTCACTTGAACAATATTTAATATAAAAATATTTTTAAAAAATAGTGAAGCAGTTCTCACTGAATTTTATTTGCAATATTTTTAATGTTCTTTGAATACATTCGCCACTCACGCGAATAAATTTTTCGAAGCTTCGAAGCTTCAAAGCTAACTTCGAACTTTGACGATTGGAAGATTCGAAGCTTCGAATTACTTCGAAAGTTCGAATGTCGAAGCCTACGAAGGAAAGCACCAGTCCTAGTAGAAAGTAAACATGGTCGATTTGATGACGATATCTGATCGATCAACAAGTGAATGGAGATTATTTTATACAATCACGCCTGCCTTCAGGAAATTTTCTTGTCTATTTGTGCGAAGTTGAAAAAGAGTTTTATCGGTATACTTTATTGTCTCTGTTCTTGTTACATACAACAGGCAAGAAAATAAAAAATTACATATATATTTTATATTGTTTAAGATAATTTCGCAAAAGAAAGTCCCTGTAAAGACATTTTCAAGATACTGAAATACAAAAGAAAACGATATATTCTGCCTGAAATGCAGTTGTATCGTCTTCTCTCTATTTCAAGTTTTAAAATTGTTTTAAAAAGTAGAGCAAATAATATTGCTTTGCTCAATATAGACACATTTTTCAAATATGTTTCTACCACTTCATAACAATTAGAGTGCAATTCGGAAGTATTTAAATTATATTTTATACCAAATAGATATGCGCGATTTATATAATTTTACTAAATACGTCTATTACGAATTTAACGTGATTTATAATTAATTCCCAAATTCATCGTCATTGCCATCACGATGATGAATGATCTAACAAATTGCATCAGACGCGGACGCGTTTATCTTGCCAAAGGTAAAGGACAAAATTTTACTCGTAATTATAAACGTTGCCCATGCGCGCTATGTATTTTACAACAGCGTTTGAAATATTTTTAGTACTGCATTTTACGATAACTTAACTGAAAACTATAAAAATTAAGGGCAACGGCAATAATAATTGAAAGACTCTCATGTTTTAGTTACGATTTGAATTATTGAGTCTACAGATAAATCAATTACTGTCTATTTAACTGATTTTCCTGAAACATTTTAGATGCAACGTGTACACATTGACGATCTTGAGAAAGATTTCCACCAATAAACGTTTGTGTGTCCAAGGAAAAAAAGAGTAAATTTTATTCCAATGAGAGAAAATATAAAACACAAAACTCCAATTTTCTTGCTAAACTAAAAATTGGATACAAATCGATTGTTTTCGATTCGCATTGGATTAAAATTACTTTATTCTTACCGTGCCGTGCCTGTCATTAGTGAGCTGTGATTAGCGTAAGCTCCTCCACCGTAATAGTATGGGACATCGTTATAGTACGGCATTTTTGTTTTATACACCTTATACTCTGTTTACACCAAATGACAATAGCTCGGGGACAATAACGAACGATTGAGCTCGCAAGGAACGATCGACGCGTCAATTGAGGGGACGGCTGAACTGCGCTGTGCTCTTAGCAGCGGATAAACGCGAAGAGCTCCAGCTCTCAGGTGTGCGAAAAGCGAAACCGTTCTCACGGTTCAGAGAGCCAAGACCAACTGAGTTTAAGCCGGCGACCTGGTGTAATAATAGAATTCTAGTATATGAGGCTTCCAAGACTATCTATACTACCCGACTCTAATAACCCGCTCACACGGCCGGCTATTATAGCTGGCTAGTTGCAACGGCGAGAGGAATGCGGAACAATAAGCTAGGCGCATCTTCCTCGGCATCGTTGCGTTTAATAATATTCATTCATGTTAACGAGATCATTAGCGAGTTTTAAGGGAGGAAGACATGCGCACGAACGAAAGAAATGAAATAATTAATCGTGAATTGTTAATACGAACGAGCTTTTATTTATATTTTACTTATTTATATGTATGTGTCTGTGTATGTGTATATGTATGTGCAATCAACTCTATTAAATAGATTTTGTTATTAGAAAAAAGTATTGAAATCTTCAAGTATTCGTGTATGTATACAGGGTTTGCCAAAAGTGTGGAAACCCCTAAATCATTTTTGTAAAAATGAAAATATCAAAAAATAATAAAAGACGTATTTTGATTTTTCAACAAAACTATCTTTTGACATATATATCGATCATCCCCCCTCCCCAGGTACGCGGGGGTTAAAGAGGGGTTGAAAATTTTAAACGGGACCCTCTATTTTTTATTGCATATTCTTATAGCTTACCTCGAGAGCTTTCCAAAACGCTATAATAAAGTATTTTTTATTAAGAACTTTTTGAGTTATTAAGGTTTGAAAGTTCCAATATTTTGACATAAATTACAAAATATCTTGTAAAATATCCTATCCCTATCCCTACGCCCTATCCCCCCTGATAATCGGTATCCATGTCAAAATATAGTTTTTTTGAAAAATCAAAATACGTGTTTTACCGTTTTTTTATATTTTCATTTTTACAAAAATTATTTAGGGGTTTCCACACTTTTGACAAATCCTGTATACAATATATACCTACAATATAACGAAATGTTTTCAATATTAGTCTTACAATTTTAAAGATATGATATACTACATGTACAGTGTTTGCTGTTATCTAAATAAAATTATATAGATGATTATCTAGATAAAATTTTAGCGTCATCTTATTTTTATATAGATAATAAAGATAAGTATTATCTATATCTGCATCTTAGATGAAAGAAAGTGTTATCTTTACTAAATTATCTAAGATATCGTACAGATTATTTGGTTTAGGGCCATATAAAAATACTTAACAGTTACACTATTTAAATATGGATGGCGTTGTAGACCATGCATTTATGTGTGTGTCATATATTAACCTGAATATATTTTATATCCCCGTTTATAATTTAAATTTTTCTATAATTTTTTATAACTTTTTCTACTGTGTTTACATGAAGTCTTAAAAATATTATCTGATAATTATCTAGATGAATCATCATATAATTTTATCTTTTATCTAGATATATTCAAAACAAAATCATCTTTATCTTATCTAAGATAAATTTATATATTTTTATCTTATCTTTATCTAGCTAATTTTAAAATCATCTATGCACAACACTGTACATGTATGATATAGTACATGTGTAATAACAAATTTTTCGTAGCATGCGATTTTTGTCAATAACATCGGTGCTTTTATAATTGAAATTTTAATGCCTCTTCTACACAATTTCTCTCTCTCTCTCTCTCTCTCTCTCTCTCTCTCTCTCTCTCTCTCTC